GCCGAGTGGAGCCCAGACCAAAGCGGTGCGCCGCCGCCATGAATCTTCAGTCTTGGAAAATCTGTAGCGATTTCTGTCAATCCTTCATAGACTGAATACTTTGGATCCAAAGTACAACTACACACTTTTTTCAGCAGGCCTTGTATTTTCAGTCTAGAACAAAGGCATAAACACCGGGTTGTGTTTTATTTAAAACAAACCTTGTTAACGAGCATCAAACACTTACTGTAAATTACCCGACGCCCCAATAGGCAGATTAACATTATTTGGGCAGTGTCCATTCAGAACATTACGAGTTTATTTATGAAAAGGTTTATAGAAAAGCAAAATACACGCACAAATAAATGACACCGCCTACTTCACCTACCGGTACTTTTATTGCAAAGAATAATTCTGTAGAAACACTTGGCGTGTATCGCAACACTAAAGTGAAACAGCTTGACTTTTTAGCATAAATGGCATCGATTGCTCGCTAATTCAGTAACGTGTGCTACTGTTTAGCATTAGCATAATTAGCAAAACGTCTGTTAAATGTAGCTAACATCTAAATTATGTAAATATATTCTCTAAGTGGTAAATCTTAAGAGAACTTTACCAAACATTAAATTTACTAATGTGGCTAATGTTAGCTTACATTAAAATGAAAAAGTTGCAAAAATCTCAGCTAAAGTTAACTTAAACAAACATTAGGCTAAACTCACTTACGGTGCTAATGTGGCTAAATGAGCTAAATTTATCAAACTCTAGTTAAAGTTAGTTGAGATTATCTAAATGGTGGCCTATACCTCAACTAATATTACCTAAAGTTAAATCAACTTAAGCTAAGTAGTAGCATAAACTCTTATCTGTTTGCTAACTTCAGCTAACATTAGCTAAATAGTTGCATAAATTCTAGCAAATGTTTATTATGCTTAGATGTTTCTTTGCTAAGATTTATGCCACTCATTAGCAAAGTTTAGCAAAAAATTGCTAAATGGTGGCATAAACTATAGCTGACGTTTAGCTTTAGCTATAAATTACACTCTTATGTGGCTAACTTTAGCTGACATGAAGTAAAGGTTGCCATATACCTCACTTTAGATATTTTGCCAAGTTCACTAATATGAGTAATGTTTGTAAGATTTGTTAACGTTAGCCACCTTACTGAGTAAATTTAGCTAATGTTTAACTTGAACAAACATTAGCTAAAGTTTCTCACTAAAATGGCTAATGTTTACTAAAATTAGCTTCATTAGTGAGTGGTTAAATGAGAAGTAAAATTATATTGAAATAAATGCTAATTTGTTTTTATGCCTAATATGATTTAGATTGAACAAAAAACTGTATATCTATATATCTTTAAGGATGCACGATATTATCGGCATGGTATCGGTATCGGCTGATAATAGTGATAAAGTTAAATATCAGACATCGGCCGTTCCATCAAAACACTCTCGGGTATAAAAGACTTCTGGTTTAAGTTGATTTTTAAGTTAGGAATCTGTGCAGTATATTTATTAATGCACTTCTACTTCTGCACTTTTCACTTGTTGCTTTTGACCGGGTTGAGTTCAGATTTGTGAAAATTCCTCTGCTCGGTGTCGTCATTGTGTTCGAGAATAAATTTAACATTAAACATGATACAAGTTGAAGTGTTGCATCATTTTCAGCTCCTTTTTGTCTTCTGCGTCTGGTAGCAGCCGAACTGACAAAGACCTGCTGAATATTATATTTTATTTCCACATCTCTAGTCTCTGTAAGGAAGTCTAGGGGAAAATATCGGTATCAGTTATTGAACAAATAAGTTTTAACATATCGTCCAAAAGTACGATGTCGTACATCCCTAACTTTATCCTTAGGTCATACATAACTTTCTTTTCCATTTTACCTTTCGCTGTAGCTTTTAACAGCTCACTGTTTTTCGAATATCATATTTTTGAGCATATTATGTCTGTTCCTTGTTTCGTGTGTTTGGATATGGTTCAGAATCTAATATAAAAATATAGTTAATGTAAATGTCAAGCCGAGTTAAAACTTCATTAAAAATACACAGACGGAAGGAACAAAAATCACTTGAGCAAACACGGGTTTTAAGTTGGAAAAGTAAAATGAGAACAAGTTGTACCTTGAAAGTAAAAGAGAAAACGGCTTTTTAAGTTGTTTACAAAACAAAAGAAATAAACTATGATTTCTTAATTTAGTATTTTACACCTTTCACACTTAAAATTATTTTGTCTATAACTCCAAGCCTTTTCAGCTCGAGGTGTTCTGGTTCTTATTTTTAGTCTTTTTTTATGTTCGTAGTCAAACTGCACCCTGAACCCATTAATGCGTGTGATGTCCAAAGGGTTCCGAGCACGGTACCCTGCGGTACCCTCCGAGTCAGCCTTTTTGTCCGACATCCTACAGTGAGCCCTGAGAGGGTCCCGATCCTCAGAGGACCGCCTTCAGCTGGACTGGAAGTTTGGGGTTAGACACGGGTCGTCATGACGCACCGCCGTGCGGATGTCAAAGCCATCAAATCGTGGCAGGAGGCACCGGGCCCCGCTTCCTGACACGTCGGGACTCGTGGGTTTCGGAGATAACGGTGGAAAGATGCTGCGACGGGGAGCCGTGCCGTCGTCAGGCAACAGCACCGCGGCGTGCTCGCAGTCTCAAACCGTCAAGACTAGGCTCAGGTTATTTAAAGGAGGATGATTAATGCGTTGAGAAATGGCAAGCACCTGCCCCAGCTACACTCCCTCGTGGCGGTGTGTGTTCGTGTCCGTGTGTAGTTTTGGACGTGTTTATTCATCCTTTTGTTAACGCCGGCGCTTGTTTTTAACTTTGCACTTTTGCTTCCCTTTTGTGAGCTCTTCTCACACACACTGGACCATTATGTGTGTGAGAAGTTGGTGTGTGTGTGTTGGAGCATTGCGCTGACTGGGCCAGTGTGCTGGCAATTAGAAAAACCACCAGTGGCAAGGTGCACATTAATCATGTTCCTCAGCTGAAAGAGAGAAATGGGGCGGCGGTGGGAGGAGGAGGAGGACGGGAAAAGAATAATGAGAGAGTGTCTGAGGTATTCAGGGCTGCTCTGTGGCTCTGACACCGTGTTGGAAAGCTTTTATGAATAAGGAAGGTCACGACAATGGGCTCAGGCCCACTGGACGGAGGGTGCCAGACTGATCACTCCTCCAGGAGGACTTGGGCTCAGGACTTTGCCACTCTTTCATTGTTCCTTGGAGTTTGGAGTGGGCGTAGCTGGTTGCTTTAAAACACACACACTTTAGTCAGTTCTTCTCTCTAAGAAGGCCTAAAACTAAACATTTGAACATGTCCTGGGCGGCTTGGCCTAGAAGGTTCTCGTCCTCTGAACGGCGTCCCTGGAGCGTACCGAAGTGTCTTTCGGCAGGACGCTGTACCCCCACTGACGTCCTTATTGGTGATTTCAGGGGCTGCCACAGTGAGCCATCACACTCCGTGTCCTCTCTCCATCTACCAACGGCTTCCATGTACAGTGGTGCTTGACAGTTTGTGAAGCCTTTAGGATGTTCTCTGTTTCTGCATGAACATGACCTAACACGTCTTCAGATTTTCACACAAGTCCTAAAAGTAGATCAAGAGAACCCAGTTCAACAAACGAGACAAAACTATTAGATTGGTCATTTATTTATTGAGGAAAATGATCCAATATTACACGTTTGTGGTAAAAGTATGTGAACCTCCAGGATTATCAGTTAATTTGAAGGTGAAATTAGAGTAAAGTGTTTTTGATCAATGGATGATGATCAGGTGCGAGTGGGCACCGTGTTTGATTTAAAGAACATGGATCTATCAAAGTCTGCTCTTCTCAACATGTTGGTGGAAGTGGATCATGGCAGGAACAAAGAGTTCAAGCTGGAAAACATTACAAAACATCTGTAAACGGTCTGGACTCCACTGATCCACCGTCAGACAGATTGTGGACAGATGGAAGACGTTGAAGAGCATTGTTCCCTCCCCAGGAGTGGTGGACCAACAAAGATCAAGGCGTGGAATAAGCAGCGAGGTCACAAAGGAGCCCAGGGTAACTCCTGACAAACGAAGACCTCCCTCACATTGGTTGATGTTCATGAGTCCACCATCAGGAGACAATGAACAGCAATGGTTCATGGCAGGTTGAAGGAGGAAGACGGTGCTCTCCAACAAGAACATGGCTGCTCGTCTGCAGTTTCATAGAGATCATGTGGACGGGCCTGAAGACTGTTGGAAGAACGTTCTGTAGATGGATGAGACAAAGTAAAACTTTTTGGCTTTTAAAATGAAAAGTGTTGTGTTTGGAGAAAGGAAGGCTCTGTATTCCTGCAGAAGAACCTTAGCCCATCTGTGAAACATGGTGGTGGTAGCAACATGGCTTGGGCCTGTTTTGCAGCATCTGGGCCAGGTCTTCTTGCCGTCATCGATGGAACAATGAATTCTGAATTATATCAGAGAATTCTGAAGGAACATGTCAGAACATCTGTCCATGAGCTGAGTCTCCAGAGAAGGTGGGTCACGCAGCGACACAATGACCCTCAGCACACAAGTGGTTCTACCAAAGAATGTTCAAGAAGAATAAAGTTCATGTTGTGGAACGGCCAAGTCAAAGTCCTGACCTTCATCCAATCCAGATGTTGTGGAAGGACCTGAAGCTGCAGCTAATGTGAGGAAACCACCAGCATCCAGAGTTGAAGCTAGGGATGCACAAGACTGGACTTTTTGGTGACACCATCAAATTCAAAATGACCTTATTTCTTCCCCACAGATAGTACCATTTCTTATTTTAAATCTTTCGTATGCTCCTTTTGTTCCGTTGTGAAGAAAATACGAGATTTGCAAACCATTGCATTTTGAATATTGTTACATTTTACACATCCCAGCTTTAGTGGAATCAAACCAGTGGTGAATTTGAAATTAACTGGTGCGGTTAAGAAACGACCGTAGATTCTGTCTGTCCAGAAACTTTTATTCAGAGTGTCAATCCGATGTTTTCTAATGGAGCGTGTTTCTTTGGTTTTCAGATGTATGATCGCTGATGAGGTAAGCAAACCGTCCACTCACAACAAATACAAACAAAAGCAAGTAAAGAACAATGAAGCCGAGTCTTCGCCGCATGCCTTCCAAATTAATTTGTCAGCCTCTCGCTGCACTCCCTCGTGCCTAATCTGTTTTGACACCGCATTCATTCCGAGACCTTATTGCTCTTGGGCCGCGCAGAAGCTCGGCCGTCACATGCAATTTGTCGCCGAGTCCCGGCGCGATTGACTTGTTTTTCTTTGCCCCCTTTCTCTCCGCGCGGTGATTTTCGGTGGCTCCAGATGGGTCTAGGGAAGACGGTGCAGGCCATCGCGGTGGCATACACCTACAGGCAGGAGTGGCCCCTCCTGGTGGTGGTGCCCTCCTCCCTCAAGTACCCCTGGATTGAGGAACTGGAGCGGTGGATCCCCGAGCTGCAGCCTGGAGACATCAACTTGGTGGAGAACAAGAGTGACACCATGTAAGTCGTCACACCACTCCTGCACACTTAAAGTACGTTTGACTCACCTGAGCAGAGGTGCACATGGAGCGAGTCCACATGAGATTTTAGCTCGGTATATAAGTGTTGTTGGGGTTTTTAAGGTCATTGGTCCCGGCAGCCATTTTACAGGAATCTCTGTATACTCCTTAATATGTTATTTCCCTATTCTACTGAAAGTTGTTGTTTGTGGCACGTGAAAACTCCTAATTACTTTATAAAAGTACATTTGGTTATAACATTTTTCACCGAAGGACATTGCCATTGTTTTACAGGTGCAATGCATTCTGGGGCGATGACCTACATTAGTTGTAGACTAAAAGTCTGAAAGACAAGGAGAGGGTAAAAACTTGTTACAAGTGACATTAAAGTTATATTTTGTATTAGCACCAATGCACAATATGTGGGTCATGACAATAAATGTGATTAACCTTATCTATCGATCTATTAATCTATCGATCTATCAATATATCTATATGTCTATCGATATATAGATATATATATTAGCTCTGGAGCTAATGCTTATAGATATATTTATATTATCCTGTTAGCTAATGCCATATATATTCATTCAGTTCAGCTTTTTATATAGCACCAAGTCACATCAGACGTCGTCTTACAGCACTGAACAGAAATATTCATACATTATAAAAGCTCATAATTAAAAGTTCTCTAAGGAAGCAGCAGATTGTGTTGAAGATTCACTTCGTCAGTCTCCAATCCTGAGCGAGCACAGAGGAGACAGTGGAAAGGAAAAACTCTCTTTTAACAGAAAGAAACCTCCAGCAGAACCAGCTCAGGACAAGTGGCCATCTGCTTTGACCGGCTGGTTTGAGAGGACAGGAAGGAGAGACAGACACAGAATTGCAGGTCCAGGTGTACTTTCTATAGGAGGAAAGACCAAAACACATGTTAAGGATAGGAATTAGCCTATTAGCTCTGGGACTAAAACGATGAGCTCTGGAGCTAATGTCATATATATTAGCTCTGAAGTTAACGTCATAGAAATTAGCTTCAAAGCTAACGTCATAGAAATTAGCTTCAAAGCTAACATCATAGAAATTAGCTCTGAAGTTAACGTCATATAAATTAGCTTCAAAGCTAACATCATAGAAATTAGCTTCAAAGCCAACATCATAGAAATTAGCTTAAAAGCTAACATAGAAATTAGCTCTGAAGTTAACGTCATATAAATTAGCTTCAAAG